CCACGCCATTGAATTGTGCTAATAGCGGACGACCAAGTATCACATTGTAGGGCGATGGGCAGTCCACAATCCCAAACTCCACCGCATGCGTCACACAATGTGTCTCATCTCCAAGGGTCACTGGTAGACGTACGCGCCCGATGACCTGGGCTGGCGCACCGGAAAACCCAATCAAAACCGAACTCGAGGGACGTACCAATTCAGGCGCCAGTTGCATGCGCTCAAACGTGCTCTTGAAGAGGACATCCATAGAGCTGCCAGTGTCAACTAACATCCTTTTCACTTTACATCCTGCTATCACCCCATGTATCTCCAAAGCTTCCTCTGATGGGATCTGGCACGCCTCGTCCGGCTCTTGGTTGAAGTTGATTTGCATTGCTTCCCTTGCTTCAATTGATGCGGATCTCAGGCGCCTAGACCTTTCCAGCTTCTCCCTCAAGTCTACAGTGCCGGTTATGGATTCGACCGTGAGCCTGACGCGACTCGGCTTTCCCTCTTGGTCCACTTCAAACGGGGGGGGGGGGGGGGGGGGCGGTATCATCGGCTCCTGTGGGGTCCTTGGCCTTTCAGGCGCCTCATGGGTCCTTGGGGCTTCATGCGTCTTTGAGTTCCTCGTGACTTCCGGCGCCTGCCTCGTCACGTACGTCCGGTGGGTCCTGTCTTCTGCCCTCCTAACAAAGTCATTGAGCATGCCCTTGTCGGCTAAAGCCTGTAATTCGGCCTTAAGTTGGTAGCAGTCGGCCGTGTAGTGCCCCTTGTCGCGATGAAAGTCACAATACCTATCAAGGTTCTTCTCGTTTGGTTGGCCGCGCATGGGCCCCGGCCACCGTATGTGGTAGCCCCTATCCTTCACGTACTGTAGTACATTTTTTAGCGTATCATTATATTCCGTAAAATTGGCTGAGCTTCTCGGCATGGGGCGAGGCGCCTCGGGTCTTCTTTGCGGACCAAAATTCCCAGATGGCACCCGGGGCGCCTGCCTTGCCTCCAATTCGTATCCCCTCAGGCGCCTCTTTTCAGCTCTCCTCGCTGCCAACGTCTCCTCAAACATGATCACCTTCTGCACCCTTCGGTCCACGTCTTCTGTGGACACCACATCCCGCTTAGAAAGGACTCGGCATTGTTCTTCGCTCGAGGTACAAGCGTCTAAGCAAACCCCCAGTACCGCCGGTTGGACATCCTTGACCGCCATGGCTACAGAGATCCACCGGTCGTAAAATTCTCTAAGCGCCTCCCCTTCTCTCTGCTTTACCTTGAACAATGCGCCTATGGTTAGTGTCCGACGCTTCCTACTTGCGAATTTGGACAAAAATAACTCTGCAAACTGCTCAAAACATTCTATGCGCCCCTCTTCGATTTGATGGTACCAATCCAATACTACGCCTGCAAACGTGGATGGGAAAACCTTGCACAACGTGGCGTCTGAGCTGTTGTAAAGTTGCATCTTCGTGAAGTAGCTGTTCAAATGATCTTCTGGGTCCGCCACCCCGTCGTAACTGGGTAACGGGGGAATTGTGGTTCCCGCCGGTTCCACTAGGATGCTTCGCGCCAATGGTTGCCGGACTCCGAACCGCTTGACGATTCTTCTAGGCGCCCACAAGTATTCTGGCTCCGCCTGGGTATGCTCAGCGGGCATTTTCCAGGCGCGTGAACGCCTTGGTACGTCATGTCCTTGATCAGCTTGGTATGGGTGCCCGTGTTGCAAAGATTCCGAATCCTCCCCCATTCTTTCTCGCTTCCTAGCTCCTGGGCTATGCATCATCACGTCCTCACTTCGCTCCCCATCCAACTCCCTTCTGAGCGCCGCAATGGCTCGATCTTGGTCGGCTATAATTCGAAATAGCTCTCTCTTCGTCAAAGATTCCCCTTCATCCGCCGATAGGCGCCCAGGGCTCGCTTCCCCTTCCGCCTCCATGTTCAACTCCCGGCTCGGTTGCTGCTCGCCTTCCTCATGACTCGAGTTGTTCAACCTCGAAACGTCTTCCCCGTCGTTCGCAACGTTCAAGTTTTCCATGCCTTCCCCTTCCTGGCGCGCCCATTGTTTGTGCCACGTTCCTTTAGTCCCACCTCACTTGATCTCGACCCTTTCGTACTCACTCGGGGCGCCCGGATCCTGCAAGGACAAGCGCCTAAAGGGCTTGGGAATGCCCGTTAGCACTCTGACGCCCAAGTCAGAACCAAGTCTAGAGAGAGAAGTATAAAGTCGGGTTTTAGTCTGAGCAGCCAACCTGCATAAATGCTATCGACTGCCCCTATTTATACTCACCGAACCCGAGGTTGATCTCCGCCACGTCACTATCCTCATTTAATGCTCTGTGCCCCTCTGTGAGACAGCTAACCGCCCTGTCAGGCTCCTGACACCTGACAGGCATCCCACAGCTCTGCCAGGCTCCTGACACATGACAGGCGCCCGCAGGCAGTGGTCCGCCAGCCAGTTGACCGCCATAGTCGCCAGCCGACTCTTCATCAGCTTGGCGATACTCGAGTAATCCGCCCCTACGCATGACGAGGAAAGGTTAGGCCATAACACAAACAATGGAATAAGAGGAAACAAAACACCTAGACGCCTACACACCATCGTTATAGTAAGCCTGAATAATAGGCGGACGGTTATCTGCGGGGCGTAAGTCAACGGGCTCCCCTTCGCAAATTAAGGGGGTGCCGGCCTTCTCAGACGCCGTCAAAACCACCGGTTTGTTAAAATCCTCGACCTGACCCAACTCCCATTTCCTCACAAAGGCGCCTCCACTCGCAAAGAAGGAGTCTCGATAGGCCTTCACGAAGAAAAACCCGTTGAACCAGCTTCGGTTCAACTTGGGACATTTCTTCACAAAATGATAGGGACAGCTTTTCTTCTTGCGTTTCTGGAGGGACAAACAGTTGTCGAGAGGCACCATCTTGAAGAAATATCTGAACAAGTTGAAGGTGGGCTCCACGTTGTGCTCTCGGCATCTCAATTTGAACAGGATGACGACCGTGATGACCGAGGGAGATAGGCGCCCGAGGGGGCAGGCGCAGGTCGTCAGGATCCCCTCCATAATCGAGTCTAAGGGAAATTGTAGCCCGAAGCGGAAGTATTCCTGATAAATCCCGATCCACTTCGGGCCACAGACGCCTACCCGGGACAGAGGCGATGGAGGCGCATACCACCAGTCTCTGGGAAGCTGGAGACTGGTCACCAATTCATGAACCCGGTCCAAAGTGACTGTTGACGTGTGCTTTGGCCCGGCCACCTCGAACGATAAGTGAGACGTCTCGGTGGGCAGATGATCGGGTGGGAAACACTTCTCCCACGAGGTGATCTTGTAGGATCCGTCGGCGGGCAAAAAGCCAGGCGCCGAAGAACTTGACGGCCCAGCTGATGAGGAAGCAGACGCCCGCTCTAAACCAACAAACGACCCAGACGCAACGCGGACAAGGGGTAAGTGACGCCCCTACCCTAGGTGACTAGAATAAACTCAACGAAATCGACGAAGGGAAAAGGACCACTTACCACGTTGAACTGGGCGCCTTGTTTCACCATCATCGCCAGAGGCGCCTGCGCCCGAGGCGCTTGCGCCAGAGGTCTTGTCTTGTTGTGGAGAAGACATTCTGGACGAAAGCGTTGTGTCGGAAGTGAAGAACTGACAGGAAAGAGGACAGAGGACAGAGGCCAGAGCGGAAGCTAGAGAGAAGTCAGAGCAAAAGTCTAGAGAGAGGTCAAATGGAAGAAAGTGACAGCATCACAAGGGAGGAGGGGTATTTATAGAAAAAAGAAGACTCACCCATCGCATGACACGTGTCAGTCATGCCGAAGGAACCCTTCCGCTCCCCCCACCTTTTGGTCTTTTCGCGAGCCACAAGACCCCAGGCGGACCCTTGAGCTTCCCCCCACCCTTTCCTTATTGGGGAAATTTCTCAACTCCCAAATTTCGAATTTCGAATTTCGAATTTCCCAAATTTCGAATTTCGAATTTTCTTTTCTCCAAATTTCCCCGGCAAGCAAAGCGTGGGTGAGGGGGGCATAAGGGATAAGGACACACGTCAAGAACGACACCATGAGAGGACGCCTATAAAAAAGATCGCGGAAAGAGAACACGCGAAGCGGTGATCCCAGGCGAAGAAACACGCGAAGCGGTGAGCCCAGGCGAAGATCCAACGCCCGAAAGGGAGGGATGGTTCGAAAAGGCGCCCCATTTGGCAAGAGGCGCCTCATCAGGCAAGAGGCACAGAAGCACATGGAAGAGCATACGGCAAGTGGCACAAACAACACCAAAGGCGGGACGCCCGCCCGCGGAAGGGGAGGGGCAAGCGCACCCCGTAGGACCAAGAAGGAAGTGAAAACACGATGCACGCGCCGTGTGACAAGCGCCCTGTGACTAAGAGAGGGCCGGATTACAACCAGAGGTTCAGTCAGGCGCTCGAAGGCGAAGCCACGAGCACCTAACTGGGGGGGCAATTGTTGGGGGTATTACCCAGCAAGCTAGGAGTTTGGGCTCCCAAAGAAGGAGTTGGGGGGAAAGGCCCAAAAGATAAGAGTCAATATCCACTAGTGGCCCTTGGTCCCAAACAAGAGAAGAGATCTTAAGAATGAAGCACCAAAAGCCAGGTGGCGGTCAACTGGCTGGCGGACCACTGCCTGCGGGCGCCTGTCATGTGTCAGGAGCCTGGCAGAGCTGTGGGATGCCTGTCAGGTGTCAGGAGCCTGACAGGGCGGTTAGCTGTCTCACAGAGGGGCACAGAGCATTAAATGAGGATGGTGACGTGGCGGAGATCAACCTCGGGTTCGGTGAGTATAAATAGGGGCAGTCGATAGCATTTATGCAGGTTGGCTGCTCAGACTAAAACTCGACTTTATACTTCTCTCTCTAGACTTGGTTCTGACTTGGGCGTCGGAGTGCTAACGGGCATTCCCAAGCCCTTTAGGCGCTTGTCCTTGCAGGATCCGGGCGCCCCGAGTGAGTACGAAAGGGTCGAGATCAAGTGAGGTGGGACTAAAGGAACGTGGCACAAACACTAACCTATTATTCTTCGTCTCTGCCAAAATGTATTTGCCCTACACATTAACTTGGGATTTCATAAAAGGAGTATGTATAATGCAATATGCACATAAGAAGATAAATAAAATGCAATGCTGTCAAAGCCGAGCTGGAGTATGACCCGGTAATGTGAACGACTTGGTCATTAGCGGTCCAGTCGACATTAGACCGTTTAAAAACCGTTTGAGAACCGGTACCTAATAAACAGTCATCTGTAATAGTAGACACTTCTTAATCATGGTAAACCACAAGTAAATTACTTTCTTAAACCATTCTAGAACATCAGTACTGAAAGATCTAAAATTCAATTCCAAACCACCACATTGTTCCAAAATAGAAGCAATATCACACGAGTCGGAACATTAAACAAGAGTCTTAAACATGGAAACCACTCAAAGTCTCAAACTCAAACAACTATCAAATACAACTTCATCATCATTTCATTCACCATCACTAGCATCAGATGAATCACTGCTTAAAGACGCATCCCAATTGCTGTGCTACCATCATGTCCATCATCATCTAATAAGTAAACAAAAATATGTTAGAAATCTTGTGTTAAAAATAGATCAAAGTTGAACATTCTTCATTTACTAATAATATGTCAATCCAACCTTCATTGCGACCTCTTTTCCTACTTGTAGTTCCACTTCCTTCAGGAACGTCATTAGCATTATTATCACCCATAGCTTGCATCAACTCATCAAAGCTAAGATCTGGAGTTGGATCCTCTTCCTCATCCATTACCCAAAATTCAGTGGTATTAATCCATTCATAGTCAAATGGATCAACCAAGAACTTACTTTTTCTAGTACGAGACCTATGAATGATTAAATACAAGTCAAATATGTCAATATTTCATGGCAAAAATATTTTGTACTCAAATCAAACATATTTGCTATTTATCACATACCTATTTCCTAGCTTCATGTTGTAGTTCACAAAGACTAGATTGCATAGTCTTTCATGCTCTATACTGTTCCTCTTCTTGGTGTGAATCCGCTCGAACACACTCCAATTTCTTTCACATCCAGAAGAGGCAGAAGTTTGGCTTAGGACTCGAAGTGCAAGGTTCTTCAACAATGGTGCACTATCACCAAAGGTATTCCACCAATCATCTACAAAGAAAAATAATTTATTAGAACAAACACAATTAAATAGACCAACTATTGCATTACAAATCATGATACTTCATATTACCTTGATCAAGTGATGATCTACCTCTAACAGCCAAGTCCCTACCAAAAGTCCCCTTCGCTTCCTCAAACAGTTTCAGTTCCTTACATGCTTGCAAACCATCACTACAAAGTTGGGGCTTTCCTTTTGCAGTCTTAGATTATTCATCTGCATTGAAGAACTCACTCACTGCTAAAGCTTGTAAATAAACCTTGTGCTCATACACACTCTTCATGGAGAGGAAATTAGTAGCAAAGCGAGTTGCACCAGGTCTCATTATTTGCTTCCAATTTGGCCTTGCTTTCAACCAATTAATCACAGGAGAATGATTATAAACAAACACAGTGACTCTTCTAGCCTTTTGAATGACAGCCTTCACATTCTCCAAATCTCCAAAATCACTCAATATCAAATTCATGCAATGAGTTGCACATGGAGACCAATAAATATGTGGATAAGTCTTATGAATAATCTTATCACATGACTTGTAGTTAGCTGCATTATCAGTGACCACATGAACCACATTGCCCACGCCAATCCACTGAATTGCTTCATCAAATATCTTGAAAAGGTTCTTTGCAGTCTTCACAACCGTTGTTGCATCAACAGATTTAAGAAAACAAAGACCTCTACTACAATAGACCAATAGATTGACCAAACTTCTACCTTGTTGATCAGTCCAACCATCAGCCATTAAAGTACACCCACGCTGTCCCCAAACGGCTCGGTGTTGATCAACAATTAGCTGGGTTTCTCTCTTCCAATCAACTAGTAAAGGCACCCTTAAATCATGATATGATGGTACCTTAATTCCTGAACCAATAGCCATTGCAGCATCAAACATCCTCTGCCAACTATCTAAGTGAGCTACATTAAAAGGTATGCAATTCTCATAGAAGAATTCTGCACAAATCATATGAGCTCTATGAATTGCATCCTTAGTAGCCATTGCACTTTTGATGCTTGGTTGCGACCCTTGAGTGGTTCTTGGAGCAAAAAAGTCAGCTCCCTTAGCTTTCTTCATCAAGTCACTAACATTTTTAGTTGCCTGTGATCTCGCTAACTCAACCACATCATCATCTTTGTCACCAATGAAAGGATCATTAGATTTCGACTTCCCTTCCTTCTTTTCATCATATTTTTTAAGAATATTTGCAAATCTCAAACGCACATCATAGGGAACTTTTGAGCATTTCACAATATTCCCTTTTGTAGAATGAGCAAGATGCTCTTTCATCCGATGAATCCCCCCTCCCCTTTTCTCAATTCCACATAGCATGCATTTGAGTGCCAGCACCTTCCCATTATCATCTTTGACTTCTTGGATGTAATTCCAAGCAGGATCATTCTTTCCTCGACCAGCTTGCCCAGTTGAACCAGTAGAGCTTGATGTTGTTGATTGAGTACCACTATCTGGATTTGGAATACTCATCTACAAAAGAAAGATCAAATCATCAAAGTTACAAGGGAAAATCTAACACTACCATTCTGAAACTTCTAAATAACTCAATCAAGTAAACAAGTAACGATCTTGGTAGGAGGCGCCCTAGGGATTAGGTAAAGCTCACATGAGTCGGTTGACAATCTAACTTGCTTGGTCGATCTTTAGTGGTTGCTGCTAGGAAATTGTTTCCTCTTCTTTTTGGCTTTGTTTGTTAATTTTTTTTCTTCATTTCAGTTCATTCTGATATCTCTTTGCTGGATTTTGCAAACTAATTACGGGCTCGTTTGCTTGTTGGATTTGAAAATGAAGGTTTTGAGTTTCAAAAACCTTTGGATTTATGATGGATTTGTTGCATCATGGATTTGGAAGAGTACATTGTTTGTTTAGTTGATTTTTTATCATGGATTTGTGATGGATTTGTCTCACATTTTTTCCTTCCATTGTCAAATCCTAAATGAAATGTGGGATTTACAAATCCGTGGGGTCCACGGATTTGGATCTAAAAAATGGGTCCAAATCCGTGGACCCCACGGATTTGTGTCCCTCAACAAACAAAGGATTTGTGTCAACTCCATGATGCTTGGGATTTGGGTTCCAAATCCATCACCCAAATCCCACAAGCAAACGACCCCTACAGCTTTGAGAAAGTTTTTCTTCGAATTCCTTTCTCGATCTCTTCAGTTTAGGGGAGTTTTGCATGTGAGACCATCTACCAACCGAATCTTCCTCATCGTCATTGGTCCCACATGATCGTTGTTTGAGACCCATAAGCTACTTTCATTTAGTCCATGAGTTTTATATTCTAATCTCTCATGCAGATCTCTTTCTCTTTTTACTGGTTGCTTGCTCGATTTCAAGAAATTTATAAACATGCCTCTCTAATTGCACTGGGGCCAAGCTTCCTTACTCTGCAAGGTTTAACAGAGTGTTGGCACTTTCTGGGGTAATTCGCTCATGAATTTTTGATAGGAAATCGGCCAGTTTTTACAGGTGTTGTTTTAGAAATTTGCTACAGCTGAAGGGGTAGAATCAACCAGAAATTTGCATCAATTAGGTTTAACAAAATTAACTTACCTCGAGCAGGAGGTGAGTCGGCTGGTGTTGCGGACTGTGGAGGGCAGTGGTTGGCTGGAGCAGGGCTGCTTGCGACGATGGCGGGGAGCAGAAGCTGACGACTGGCGATGGCGCTGCTTGCGGCGGCGATTGCTGCTTGCGAGGGCGACTGGCGACGATGGCGACTGGCAAGGGCGACTGCTGCTTGCGAGAAGCGACGATGGAGACTGGCGAGGGCGACTGGCGATGGCGCGCTGCTTGCGGTGACGGGACGGAAGCGCTGGAGATGGTTGACGGTGCCGCTCTCCCTCTGTCGTTTCGTTTGTTCTACTTCTAGGTCAAAGAACTGGAGAAAGAAAAGGAAAGGTAGGGTTTTGTTTGGCTGGCGGCTGCCCAATTCCACGTTTTTTTTAGGGTTAATTAAACGGCCGAACCACGCGACCGGCTTGAGCGGCTCGAGCGGTTAACCGCTTCGGCCGCTCGCCGGCCGCTGTATAAAACCGTGGCGGTTAAGTAGCTGATCCGAGCCGATTTTACGGCCGGGTGGCGGCTTTGGCGGTTGATAGACCGATAATTACACGTGTTTTCACCCCTATTCTTGAGCCGTTTGAGAGGTTGATTCTCGGGTTTTAAGCCGATTTCACGCGAGGTTGTGTGTTTATGTCATATTTCAAGACCCGGCGTTGGAATCGAGGCGAAGGAACGAGATTCGGGTCGAAAGGAGCAAGTGAGGCTTGAAGCGGGCTGAAGGAGGAAAATACCCGGCCATGGGCCAAAATACCCGGCCGGGTATTATTCTGAGGAGACCGGGGAATTCCCTCTATGGCGTCTGAGAAACAGAGGGGGGCCCGGTCGTGAGGCTTAAATCCCCGGTCGGGGATTATTGGAGCAGACCGGGGATTTTTCCCTGGCTTGAAACGTGCGTTTTGATAATACCCGGTCGAGACCCAAAATACCCGACCGGGTATTTCGATCGGGTATCGCGACAGACAGCTGTTTTAAGGGAAAAGAGGACTGGAAATCAGGGGATTCGAGTTTTAGAGAGAGAGTTCAGTTCCTAGAGAGAGAAAGTGATGAGCAAGAGTTCCCAAGTCCCCTAGATTGATCTTCAACACCATTGGAGGCCAGTTTTAGCTTGGAGAAGTGTCGATCAACGTCCAGAAGCAGGAATCCATCCTTCACAGTATGAATTCCGCGTCTGATTCTGCTTTTGCTTTCTTCTCCATGGAGTAGTTCTCCCATTCATCTGGGTATGGAGAACCCTAGATTTGTATGTTAGGCTTTGATTGTATGAACCCAAGTACTGATTCTATGATTTGATTATATTCGATTGAGGTTTGAATGATTGAATGACTTGAATCCTGATCAAATTCCTGTTGTTTCTGCTTAAACCTAGAATGAGAA